GATAACATTTACAATCAGGAGCTCCTCAGTTGCTCATTCTACCACTGAGTTTACAATGACTTATGGGTAGAAAAGCCATACTAAGTAATTTACTACACTGCAGGAACACATAAAGATTGATATCCTAGGCATTAGTGAGCTGAAATGGACTGGTTTGGGGCATTTTGAATCAGACAACCATATGATTTACTATGCCAGGAATGACAAATTAAACAGAAATGGTATAACATTTACTGTCACAAAGAATGTTTCAAGATCTATCCTGAAGTACAATGCTGTCAGTGATAGGATAATATCCATAGGCCTACAAGGAAGACCAGTTAATACTAGTATTGTTCAAATTTATGCAACAATCACAAAAGCCAAACGTGAGGAAATTTTTTTCCAACTTCTACAGTCTGAAATTGACCAAACATGCAATCAAGGTGTGTTGATTATTACTGGTGATTAGACTGCAAATGTTGGAAACAAAGAAAAATCACTAGCAGTTGGAAAATAGAGCCTTGGTGATAGAAATGACACTGGAGAGCTTATGACAGAATTTTGTAGGACCAAATATTCATTGAAAATACTTTTTTTCTACAACATAAAAGGTGGCTATACACATGGACTTCACCAGATGGAATACACAGGAATCAGATTGAGTACATCTCTGGCAAGAGGCAATGGAGAAGCTCAATATCTTCAGCCAAAACAAGTCCAGGAGCTGACTGTGGAACAAACTATCAACTGCACATGTACAAGTTCAAGTTGAAGCTGAAGACAACTAAAACAAGTTCACAAGACCTAAGATATGACCTTGATTACATCCCACCTGAATTTAGAGACCATCTAAAGAACATTTTTGTTCTTTTTGCACTGATTTGATGCACTGAATACCAATGACCAAAAACCAGATGAATTGTGGGATGACATCAAGAACATCATCCATGAAAAAAGCAAAAGTTCATTAAAAAGACAGAAAAGGAAGAAAAGACCAAAATGGATGTCAGAAGAGACTCTGAAACTTGCCCATTAATGGACAGTACCTAAAACAAATGGGAGAAGTGACAAGATAAAAGAGTGGGCACAAGACTTCAAAGAGCAGCTTGAGAAGACAAATCCAATTAGTATAATGAAATGTGGAAAGACCTGGAGTTAGAAAACCAAAAGGGAAGAACATGCTTGGCATTTCTCAAGCTGAAAGAACTGAAGGAAAAAATTCAAGCCTCAAGTTGCAATGTTGAAAGATTCTATGGACAAAATATTGAATGATGCAAGAAGCATCAAAAGAAGATGGAATACACAGAGTCACTGTACCAAAAAGAACTGGTAGATCTTCATCCATTTCAGGAAGTGGCATATGATCTAGAACCGATGGTA